TCCCTGGCTGCCTGGTCCCACCGGCTCAGGCGCATTGGCCGGCGGCAGCTCAGCCCAGACCCCCTCGCCCCTGAGCACATCCCCGCGAACTCCCTCCATCCCCCTCCCTGCTGCGCCCTCCACCCTGCCAGCGCCTTGCGCCCCCAGACCCGCTGTGCCATGACTCCCTTGTCCCTGCCATGAGCACCCACACCCCTGTCGGCAACTTCCCCCAGGCTGCTAATCCCTCTTGCTCCAACCAGTCCTCAAGCCCCCAGCAACTCCCACTCCCTAAACCAAGGCTACTCACCTTTGGAAGCCCAGGGGGCCACACTGGGTCAGACCAAAGGTCCATCCAGCCCAGTATCCTGTCTGCCGCCAGTGGCCAATACCAGGTGCTCTAGAGGGAGTGAACCGAACAGGTAACCATCAAGCCATCTCTCTCCTGCCATCCATCTCCACCCTCTGACAAACAGAGGCTGGGGACACCGTTCCTTACCCATCCTGGCTAATAGCCATTTATGGACTTATCCTCTATGAATTAATCTAGTTCTCTTTTAAACTCTGTTACAGTCCTAGCCTTCACAGCCTCCTCTGGCAAGGAGTTCCACAGATTGATTATGCGCTGTGTGAAGAAGAACTTCCTTTTACTTGTTTTAAACCTGCTGCCCAATTTCATTTGGTGGTGCCTAGTTCTTTTTGAGATGAGGAGACCACATGCTGAGGGCTGCAACTTAAGTGTGGTTGCATATACATGCAAATATATATGCAAACAGCTTCTTTCACATTGACTGGCATGAATACAAAGATTAAGCTTTAAGGTGTGGCATGGACCCAAACATGGCCAGTGTGAACCAGTCAGCCCCTTTCAGGCTCTGCCCATGAGCTAAGCAGCCAGTACCTCCCACAATGCCCTGGTGCTCCTGGCACCTCCTCCCTGGAGGCTAGAAACACCAACATCCTGTACCTGTCTGTTCCAGCCAGCCCGTTCGCTTGCATCTTTCAATGCTCACCTCACCTGGGAGATGCCTTGCCATTGTGGGGCGTGTTCCCAGTAGCGGCTATGTTCAAAGGATCCCACCCGCGCCATGTGTTGAGGCCCAGATAAACCCAAACCACACCCTGGCTGCAAACAAACAGGCTGTGGGCTGCAGGTTAAGTAGTCCTGCCCTAAACCCTTGTACCACCACATCCTGCTTTCCCTTGCAGCCTGGGAACCCCAAATTCCTCACTCCTGCCAACTGTGCTTAGTCCCCTACCCTGACTTCTCCCTCCCCAAACCCCACTGTAACCGTATACCCCATATTCTTCATAGAGTTGTTTTTCTGATATGAATAAAGCAAAACAGGTATGTTTTATGCAAGATGGGACATGAGAGATATTACTGGGAAGATTATAGTGTACTGAATGTGATTATCCAGTTAGCATGCATGAATCATTTGGTATCAAAACTAGGAATAGGAACTATGTAACAATTACAATTGGGTGTGTACACGTGCCCACTTAACATGTTTTTGCAATAGCACGATTTTTTTTTAAGGGAACTTTTTCAAATAACATGACAGTCCCCGAAATAACATGAAAATAATCAAGTGGCAGACTACTTCACACGGCAGTATAAGTTTGAGAAATCAGTGGTAATACTCATGAGCAGATGAATACACATGGTCACAGCGTTCCTCTGCTCACTCACGTGTTTATCTTTGTGTTTTAACAAACCACGGCGACTTGCGTTGCTAGATATTGAATATTGACATTGATGACCCAGCACCAACAAAAAATTGACTTTGCTGCCACCACCTGAAACGCAACCCCCACCTTTTCCATTATTTTTAATGGGGAAATTGACCCGGCATAGCACGTTTTCACTTAGCACGAACATTTTCAGAAACGCATCTATAGTGTTAAATGAGGAATTACTGTATTTGGCAGACATCCACCTGGCAACAGGCCATCAAACTTGATGGGCCACTAGGGAGAAAGAACAAGACTGTGAAGATACTGATTCCTCTCCTTCCTGAGAAGTGTCCTGGGAGGTAGCTGTGATATTACTAGGTCAGGAAGCCCAGCCTCTGGGGGCTTTCTGATCCCAACTCTCACACCAGCGAGCTGCTCTAGTCTGTGCCTTGAGGCTGGAGACCAGCCAAGGTTTACACCTTGGAGTTCTAGTAATTTTCCATGGTAAAGATGTGCAGGTCAAGACAGGAAAAAACAGATTCCCACCTTATGTAAATCTTCTTTAAGGCTGGGAAGTAAGATGATGAGGATTTTCCCCTGACTTCCCATGCAAAGAGAAACTGAAAAAC